ACCTTGTTGCTCCAATTCTTCAATATTTTCCTGTAGTTTTCTGATAATAGTGCCATCATTGCTATCGAAATCCATGACACTATACCTTTAAAAAACCAAGAGGTACTTCAAAAAAATCACAACAGGGATTCAGACCAGCCAATGACGACGGGGTCAAAAGATAACACGCTTCTGAACACATAGAAAATGCTTCGTAAGCTGTAATGAACACATGTGATAGGACCAGATGAATACCACGTAAACATAGCTCAGCTGGCATTCATCGCAACGCGATCGTTACGATGCCTCGCATGCGACGATGCTATAGTACGTCACGCCATGAATATAAAAGACACACTTTTTCACACACATTGATGTATGCCTTGGCATCCTTTAAAAGGAGATATTTTAGAAAATCGATTGAATTTCACACAAACTCTTTATTTACATGACCAACATGAATCAATCAAGAATTTTACCGGAGATAAACATAAAATGAGTATCGAATAACGAGACCCGATACGATGAGAGAACGACAACGTTCGTGCTGACGCATTGCGTCACGCTGAGGCATTTGAGACGATCTGGTTTGGCGATGCCATCCCATTACTTGACACAGTAAAAACCGAAATGTTACACGAGGAGATATCTCATACAATAATATGCAAAAGAAACAAAAAAATCAAATAAAAAAGCTTTTGACAATCAACTTTGATATGCGGCACATTTGAGGGAACGGCGAATCAAAAGCATCAAACAAGGTCACAAAACCAATCACTCATATGAATTGGGTGCGGTAAGTGAACATTTGAGCAAAGTGAGGACCACAACTAGAGGTGTACATGTAAAATGAAAAAATCTCATCAACTAGTTTGATTTGATCTCCAAAAAAAATGCAGAAAAAAACTTCGCCAGCTACGAAAGCCAGCGGCTACAAAATCAAAATTTTACTGAGTAAGCACAAAAGAAAAATGCCCATTCTAAATCCCCTGAACCATTGGTCAAATTATTCGGGCAGAATGAAGCAGTGGTAATGGGATAGTAGTGGGAAAATCGATTACTTGCTTAGTCATGAAAATTACATGCTCGAATGGAAAATTATGGTCACGGTTGACGTCAAACATTACCTATCCCATTACAGGACTTCACCCCATTGAGTTGAACTACTCGCCACAAGTCAAAACCACTCCTTTTCACAAGCGATTTATATTCTCCATTATCTTTTGTATTGCTGCCTAGATCCAGACAGCGCGACAAAACCTCAATAAAACCCTTTGGGAGTTTCCTCCGATGAAAGTTCGGAAAGTCACACGAATGACCTGGCACTTCGAAATTCGGCAATACCGTTGAATAGTCGAGAAGAGGATAGACGTAAAGCGACCGCTAACTGAATCTCCCTTGATGTGATCAGATAGCGATAGCATGGGCAGGAATCAGTCATGAACCACATGTTCTTCGTGTCCCTGTGATCATTCCGAAGGAAATAAAAACCAAATGACTCATGAACGATTCCCAATGCAAGCGATGCGAACCATCCCTCACTCTCCTATAATCACTGAACCCTCCCAATTTTAGGAACACTGCGAGTCCGCAACAACCGAAGGGCGATTTTTTTGGACCATAGAATTAGGCCATATCCACAAAACTGCCTTGACACAGAAAAAGGAAAAAAGAGAAAGGAAACCGCGAAAAATCCCATTGGATAGAAATGTTATGAATGGTTTCCCTAGTTCCTTTCTCTTCAAATTTTCCTGAAAATGACCCAAAACAGACATAAACAGATGCAAAAAGGGAAAACACTTTGGCCATCCCAAAAGCAACCCTCACATGCTGCCAAATTATCCGTCAACTCTCATGCGAAACTTGCCGCTCTATCAGAGCTGCCATATCCTCAATCTCTTCGTCTTCCTCATCATCATACGGGATGTCTCGAGTCTCTTCCTCATCCAGAACTTGTGGTACTTCACCTTTAGCATCGCCATTTGTTGTTTCCTCATAGGTAGCCTCACAGAAACTGTCGTCCTGATTAGTATTCTCATCATCGTCAAAATTTTCTTCCTCAGGTGTTTCGAAGTTGCCTTCTCGCTCCCATCGAGCACGTTTCATAGCCAACTCTTTTTCAACTTCGTCATCTTCATCACCGCTTCCATCACCTCCGTTTAGCCTCCTTTTTAGTTTTTCTTCACATTCTTCCTCAGAATCATCACCTTCTGATAGAACCTCGTCAACCTTAAAATATTTTCGCATTATAGGTTATACTAATGACTCGAAAGGGAAACCGAATTTCTCCGAGGCAAACCTCATGCTCCATGGCCGCTATTGTCTCCTTCTTCATCGCATCAATACTTGTGAGTTCGGGTATGATCCTGCTGCCTAACGGTCGACCTTCAGGAGGTATGGAGTCTTTTGTGAGCTCAAACTCTTTTTCGTCAGCCTTAATAGGGATATTTGCTCATTTCAATTATTGTTTTCTTTTTTAGATGATGCATTGTTTTTATGTTTTGGAAAAGAAAAAAACATGATTCTTAAGGATAGTGCCTCTAACGAATCTGGTTCGATCTGGAAGGACATTTCACTGCAAGACTTCAGTGGATAACTCGTACCAATAAAATGTATCTTTACAAATATGAATATAAAATAAAAAGAATCAACTACCTTTAGCAATTTTTCAACACAAGCATACAGCCAGAAGGGTGTCACGATTGGAATGCCTAGTTTACATGCGGCCATGACTTTTCTGTAATAGGTGGGTTTACCGTTTGTGAGCAAAATAAAACGATCAAAAGTGCTATTATGAATCTACAATATAGCGGAGGATCGACTTCTTCCTTTATCAAAATTCCAGAAAAAAAGAAAGAAGAATGTGACAATGGTCAACCTCCCGCAGAGGCAAAGTAGAACCCAAAATGGTGGAGATAAAAGTGTGGGAGAGGAACAGTTAAGAAAAGCAAAATTCTTGCTGAATCATTCTATTCATGGTCGAAGAAGGAGTACTAGGAGTTGATAGAGGAAAGAAAAAGAAACTGATTAACTTTAGTGTCATCCCTGGTGAACCTGGGGTTATACGAGAGCAACCTCAAACAAAAATATCCGCAGAGGAAAAAGTCTGTAGAACTCACGTTGTTCCCCATCGTACTGCAACTAAGTGCGTAGTCTGCTCAGTTACTTGATCAGCAACCTTCAAGAGAGTTAATAACCTATTCAACAATTTTATTAAGTACCTATTTAGCCTACCGTTGCTCCGAACTGAACGCACAACCGATAAGCTTCAGAATGCTCTATTTTCATTCCTAGCGGGACCACACCTGATAGCACAATGACGAGACCTCGTAATACTTGCTTTTTGATGTAACTTATCACTACCTGCAACGGGATGGTATTACGTACTAGAAGAATAAGCAAGATTAGCACTCAGAGCTTATTCGGGTGAACCAAAAAAATCTGACGTCAGGTACGCACCGAAATTCACCGATAAGTATTCACCCTTCTAGACCAAAATTTCGCAAATCCCTAGTGGACGATAATGTCAGCTCGAGGAATGAAAATAAAATAAAAAGGAGAAACCTTGACATCTCGAATTTCTTTCGTTTTGTCGTAGTGCTTATAAAAATTGGCGTGTACATCGATCAGCATCCTTTCTACATGCTCCAAAGTTCGGTCATGTTCCGCGTCGTCCTCTGAAATAGAAGCTGAATTTCGTCTATCAATATTACGATGTTTCAACTTATCATACCGACGTCAACAGCAGGCAGCACGCCTTCTTTTGTTCCTCCAACGGGCGCGTTAATATCTCCCACTTCTTTGAAAAACCTGTAGGGTTTGACCTGCAACAATTACACAATATTTTTCACGAGAATACGATAAAATAGAACTACAACATTATGTTCTCTCGATAGAGCAAGAAAGGAACCAGTAACCTGAATAAGGGCCTCGGAAAACTGCCAAACGTCAGCGCGATCATCAATAATAGCGATCAGCTGATCTCCGCAAGGGAAAAGCGCTCTCAAGTTTCGGGTCTTATGCTGCGCCGAAAACAGCTCGTCTCTCGATAAAATCCGCTGAGCAAATAGCGTCTTTTTAGGGTCGAGAAACTGGAAAAAGAGCAAATGAGCATTCGATTTCAGGTGCACCTCCACCACATGCTACACTGCGTGTACCGTACTGACCTCTGCAATCTTATGTGCATACTGCCGCTGGCCATATGTTATGATATGCATTTCGTAGAGAGCACTCATATGTTCGAGGAATTCATGCGTATACGGTCTCAGTTTTGTATGATATTCCACGCCGAACATTTTGTAAGTATAAATATCGCCGTGCTAAATTGCTGACTATTGTTCAATACTTCACAAACAATATCAGAATTCAACTTACCTTTTGAGGATCAACTTTGAAAGGACGATTTGTCGTGTGGATTACTGTCTGATCGAGATCAACCAATAAAACAAGTTTACGTGAATTTAAGACATTTTTCAAATCTGCTGAGCCAAGTTCTTCCGCCAACTGGAACACATTCCAAAAGTTATACATTTTTTTGTCCATTACTGCCTAGAGAAGATCAAGGTAAGAATCCAAGCACTAACATCATCCGATACGATGAGCTCTGGTACGTGATGGATCATCGACACATTTGCTGTTGCAGCTTCTTTTCGCTGTCCTGCTCTTCCATCTTTTCTGTAAAACAGAAAAAAAAGAAAATGATCGCAGGACGATGACAAAAAAAAACAATCAAATGGCAGATCTATCACTTCGAAGTGCCTGAAATCGTGACAAAAATACGTCTCAGAAAGAAAACATACTCCCTGAGATCACGTCCGCACGTTGCGCACATATCTTTGATTACAATAGCATGGTGGCAAGGCTCGATACGAGCTATTAGCATATCCTAAAAGAGGAACTTGAAAGCAGCACCACCCAAGGATGTTAAGAAGCTGACTGTGGTACATGAGGTATCAGAAAAACACAAACCTGAACCATTTCTGCACCTTTCTTAGCTGCCCGATCAAACGTAACGACACCTTCAATCGGCGCCTTCAGCTTTACCATTTCACCAGAAGGCGTTTGATATTCAAGGACTACCTGAAATAGACAGACCTTAAGAGTAATAAGTAACAAAGCAAAACGAGAACTTTAGGAATGCGCAAATCGAACACGGGTTTTCTATTCGTTGACAAAAAATCAATTGATTACAAAACATATAAAAGGAAAGCCGATAAAATGAGTGTTCTAGACTCAACCCTTCCATTCTACCACGACCATTCGTGTGAGATTC